GTGCCCTAGATTGATCTTCAACACTATTGGAGGCCAGCTTGAGCTTGGAGAAGTGCCAATCAACGTCCAGAAGCAGGAATCCATCCTTCGCAGTATGAATTCCGTGTCTGATTCTGCTTTTGCTTTCTTCTCTATGGAGTAGTTCTCCCATTCATCTGGGTATGGAGAACCCTAGATTTGTATGTTAGGCTTTGATTGTATGAACCCAAGTACTGATTCTGTGATTGATTATATTCGATTGAGGTTTTATTGATTGAATGACTTGAATCCTGATCAAATTCCTGTTGTTTCTGCTTTAACCTAGAATGAGAATATCTGCCTAGGTTGATAGAGCACCCTTGATTGAAGGTAGGGAGTTGGTGACTTTAGTCGAGGAGCCAACTCACTATTCTGTACCGGATTTACTCCGGTAGTGGAGGTTTTGTTCTTAGGGCCTCAATCTGTCTACTCCGGTGGAGGTTAGTCGCCCGCTAGAGATTCAGATTGAGAGGGTCTGAAGACCTTTAGTCGAGACTTCAGGCTGGTTAAGAACCTTCCGCAGTATAACCATCATAGAAACTGAACTTGGTAATTACAATCCGTCTTAACTGCAGTCTAGGGGGAACCATATCAGGGTGACCTCTTTAACCTGAATACAACAGTTTACTTGCTTTGTTTGTTTGGTAGTTTAGACTTGCATTCCAGTTTCGTTGCTAGATAACAAGAACTCACTGAGTAGTCATCAGATCTAGGACCCGGGTTGACATATAAACCTAACCCGCTATACTACGCTTTAGGAAGTGGTTATATTTGGCCAATTCCTGGAGTGACAGTAGAAGTGAGTCACAAATCAAGCACTCCTCGCAACTGCAACAGCTTCTTGTGAGACGCGTGACCTAACTGGGCATGCCACAAGACTTCAGGAACCAGGACCTTTTGTTTCGCGACACAAGCTCGAGCACCTCTAGCGTCAAACAGCTGGAGATAATAATGTCCATCACGCAGTTCACCCTTCCCAATCAACTTCCTGGAGGTCAAGTCCTGAAGGACGCAAAAATCACCAATGAAGATTAAGGCCACACTATTATCCTGTGTGAGACGGCCTACTGAAATCAGATTGCATCGGAAGTCGGGTACATGGAGAACACAACTAAGCTCAACCCCTGTTTGTAAACTAACACGACCAATGTGCTTAACCGGAACACTATCACAGTTCGGTATACGAACCGATGGACCATTCTCGCTAGCTACTTTATGAGTTAATATATTCTCATCCATGGTGATGTGCTCGTTGCACCCAGAATCGAGCAACCATTCAGTGTGAAGAGGGATCATACCTGCTAAGTGAGTTGTCGGGTCTTCAGACCCTTTGTTCGGGTAGCCGAAAAACTGACGAAGCTTCTCAAGCTGACTTATAGTGAAACCCGCGACGGGACTCTTGTCCTTGGCCTGGTCCACCTTTGCAGCTCTCGGTTCTCTGTCCCGCCCAGAATGCTCGCGGCCACGTCGAGAAGAGTCCCTGTCCCGACCAGACCGTTCGCCGCGGCCGGATTGCTCTCGCTCACGGCCATGCCATTCTCCACGTCCAGAATCATCACCAGCGGATGGAGGTTTGCGTCGCTGCTGATAGTCGCGGGGCGGGTAACCAATTAATTCATAGCAGGTCTCCTTCACATGATCACGTTTCTGACAGTGGCTGCAGCGGGGAGTATCACGCGTGCCACGTTGCCCGCTTCTTCTTCGTCAGTTCTCGCCGCAAATGTTGCCGCCTCCGAGCTTGGTCGCCTATTCTGAGTAATTAGGCGTTGTTGTTCTTCATGAAAAACAATGTTAAAAGCTTCAGGAAGTGAGGGAGTGGGCCTCATGGCCAACACCTGCGTCCTGACCATCGAGAAGGCGTCGTCAAGACCCATTAAGAAATCAAATAGCCGGGAGCTATCTTGCTGTTCACGAACCCGGAGAGACACGCCGCAAGTACAGTTCCCACACGTACAGCTAGGTGTATGCGAGATGGATGTTGTCTCTTCCCAAAGCGATCGCAATTTTGTGTAAAAAGCTGAAACAGAAAGCTTCTCCTGTTGAAAGGAAACAACCATGCGGCGGAGCTCATAAGCACTAGAGGCATTCCCGGTACCGAATCAACTCTGGAGGTCAACCCATATTTCACGAGACGTCTCAGCGAACCGCACACTGCTCCGAATCTCCTTATCCATGGCCGTCTTAAGCCAGCCTTTGATCATCGCGTCACAGCAAATCCACGCGTTGCGTTGCTCACCAGCATCAGGTTTGGCAAGTGTACCATCAACGAACATTTACTTATTTTTAGCAATCAAAGAGTCCTTCATATCCAGGACCCACTCGCCATAGTTCGAGGAAGTCAGGATGTCGCCGACTAGCATCTGACCAGGCCCATTCGAGCTATGCAATTGATACTCAGGCGGTAGAGAAGCATCACCTGCAGCCGAGGAAGCTTCTGATTTGCAATTCTTGGTTTCCACCATAGTTGCCAACGGAAGAGGACCTTAGTGCTCTGATACCATGAGAAATCGACCTAGTCTAGGTAAGCGTAAAAGAAGAAGACGAGGCTTTACGTGGTATCCCCGACGGTGTGTTGGGACTAGTCCACGGGAGAGTTTCAATACTCTCCGGATGTGATATTATTGATTATTGTATCGAGTTCGGCCGTAGCCTTTACAATGAATATATAACCCTTTGCAACACTCAACTAGGGTTAGACTACCAAGAACCTTGTTCTCGTGGGACTTGTACGTGGCCTCTTGTGTGTCTGCATGGGCCACATGGGCTGCAATGATGGGCCGAGTCGGTGGCAGCAGCTGACCCGCCTTGCTACTGTCCAACACTGAGGCACAAAACTCTCAAGGATTTCAACTTCTTGGAGGAGACCATTTCCAGCCTTATTTTGAGCTCATCATGAGCCCGACAATCCAACATCTTCTCGACAAAGTGCTCGTTCTCGCAACTGCGGCGGGGGAGTTGAGGAGATAGAGGATGCGGTGGATGATTTTGTCGGGGAATTGTGAGATTCGGTCCTCGTGAGCTGATGATGGCTCCATCCGCATTGTAGCTGACTACCTGTACAGAAACAAGCAACAAGCTATGGCGGTGACAGGGTTTCTTGTCGGGGGAAAAAAAGAGATTTGGGTTTGGGAAATTAGGGTTTTATTAGTTTAGGAATATGATAAATCTATCTATCTATCTATAAAATATAATAAGACTTTTCCAACTAAAGCCTTCTCCGTTTCAAATTTCCTACACTATCATGCGTCCACGTCAGCATCACTTTCTCTATCTTTATATTTTTTTCCACGAAATAACAACTCTCTCCCTCCCAATTTTTTTTATGAAACCGTCACTTTCTCCATTTTTCCTCTTCCTCTGCATCTAAATTCTTATTGCTTTTCTTTCATCAACTGGCTTTTTACATATCCTTCCCCATTTTTCTTTTTCTCCTGTAGCAAGTGGAAAAGAATTATTCCAATTTCTATAAAAAATTAATAAAGTATATATATTTTTTCTTTCATTGCATTCAATTTTCGTGTGAAATGGTAAATCCTTATCTCGGTTTGTAAGCATGTAGTTAAATTTTATTCCAAAAAATCCATGTTTTTATTATTATTTATGTTACACATAGTTTTTTTTAAGGGTTAATATTTTCGTAAGGCCTGAACTTTGACCAAAATAAACATCCTGGCCAATCTTTTCGATCTATAACATCCTGGCCCGAACTATACACCAAAATAAACAATTTGGCCAGATACGACTTTTGACCGTTAACTTGGACGGTCAAATGCGTTGACCGTTAGTCAATGCGCCATGTCACTGCCAAGTCAGCATAAAATTTTTAAAATAATTCACATTTTCCACACATTCCTTAATTTTAAATTATTATAAATTAAAAAAATCATCTAATACCTTAGTTAAACCAAAAATAAAAAACAAAAACAAAAAGTATTTAGCAGATCTTCTGACTTGGCACTGACGTGGCGCGTTGACCGTTAGTCAACGCGTTTGACCGTCCAAGTTAACGGTCAAACATCGGGTTTGGCCAAATTGTTTATTTTGGTGTATAGTTCGGGCCATGATGTTATAGATCGAAAAGATTGGCCAGGATGTTTATTTTGGTCAAAGTTCAGGTCATACGAAAATATTAACCCTTTTTTTAACAACGAGAAGCTTTCCTTTAAATGGGATGGATTGTTTTTTTTTTTTGGACAGATCTATTTCTATTAAGAAAATAAATTATGAAACCATTCTTTTCTGGACCAGATTATTGACTATAGGTTATTGTATGAGATAATTAATTTCAATATTTTTCTCTTGAATATACTAGCATCGGGCCCGGCCCTTTGGCCGGGAAAGTTTAGACAAAAAAATATGTACATATAACATGCTTACAATATAATAAGAAAATAAAACATATAATTGGAGGAAGAAATACAAATGTTCAAAGAAGAAAGGACAACAATCAACATACATAATTGGTTTTCAATACTTCAAAAGGGCGTATAGTTCAAAATTAGAGTTGCTTCCTCTAAAATATACATAATGAACCCTTATGAGAAAAGAAAAAGATTGGTCTATGATAGAGTTCAATATTTGTCCATAGTGTTTATCCCAATAGACATTGGGCTAGTTTGGCTATGCTATAACTTTTGCAAAAGCAGCTTCTAGTTTGAGCTTTTAGAGAAGTACTTAAAAAAAAAACAGTTTAGTGTTTGGCTGAAAAACTATTAGAAGTGCTTTTTAATATGAGAAGTTGTGTAAAACTATTTAACAAACTTATAATATAAAATAGGGTTAATACCCTAGTTTAGCCCGAAGTTTGACGTAAGTGACAGTTCTGGCCCTATTTTTTGAATAAGACATTTATGGCCTACTTTTGAAATTATTGGACAAATTTAGCCCAAAATTTTCTTTGGCCGTTAATATTAACGGTCAAACACGATTCCGTTAGTGACTCGGCAACAAAATTGTCGATGTGGCATGCCAAGTCATTAAATAATATTATTTTAATTTTATAATTCAATTAAAATAAAAAAATAAGGAAAAACCCTAAACTAAATCTATATCATCGTCAAAAGGAGGGAGGCGCCTCCTCCTTCTTCGTCGACCACTGTCGCCGTGCTCCCACCATTCATTTTTCTATCTCTTCCATCCCTCTCTTTCTTCTCCTCGTTACTCCTTCCGCCATCGCCGCCAGAAGCGAGAACCCACCTGCGTACGTCCGGGAAGGAGGTTTCGGGTCGCCCTTGTCGCCACCGGAACCCCGATGATGAGGACCCATCGATCTGTGATGTTGCCCAATGGAGGGGCGGTAATTTCTCACCGTCGAACGACCAAGTCAAGAAATATCTCCAGGCTCTCAACTTTCAGGAATGTCAGGTTCAGGCTGTGGAGACGATCGACCTCGCTCCGGCTGTCGCGGAAAAGAGCAGCGGAGCTCCGAGTTCCAGAAAATCCTGCACGGCGGCGGCGCCGTCTCGATTTCGACGGAGAATCTCCTAGTGTTGCCGATCAAGTGCAGGCGGCGGAGTCGTCGGAGGAAGTGGCGGAACTTGGGCTCCACAGGTGGCAGATCTTCATGAATTTTTCTCTGTTCCCTTTGAGCAGCACCCATGTGTTCAGGGTTTTGTTTGGAATTTCTTTGATTTTGGGCTTCTCTTAAAGGAAAAGAGGAATCGGTGGATGACTGGATGGGAAAGTTAAAAAGTAGCGGAAGAAGAAGAAGAAGAAATTGTAGTAGTTGGGGGGTTTTGGGAAGGAATGGGAGAGGCGGCGGAGCGGTGGTTGTCGGAGAAGGAGGAAGCGCATCCCTCCTGTTAACACGATGAGGTTGATTTAGTTTAGGGTTGTTTTCTTAATTTCTTAATTTGTATTTTAATTAAATTAAAAAATATATTATTATTTAAAGAAGTGACATGCCACATCAGCGGTTTCTTGCTGAGTCACTAACGGAATAGTGTTTGACTGTCAATATTAACGATCTAAGAAAATTTTGGGCCAAATTTGTCCAATAGTTTCAAAAGTAGGCCATAAATGTTTTATTTGGAAAATGGGGTCAGAACTGTCACTTAGGCCAAACTTCGTGCCAAATTGGGGTATTAACCCTATAAAATATGAATAAAAATTCTAAAGAATAAAAAGTAGTTAAAATGGATCTTGCTAGATTTCTTTTATATTAAATAATATGATTGTATAATTTATTTTATTTTTAAAATAATATAGATGAAAGAAAAATATATTTTTCGAAATAAAATTAAAATATGGTAAGGATAATGTTGTATTTTCAAAACAACTTTTTCCAGAAGCTCCAAATTGGAGCTTCTTCTTTTATGTTATACAAAAGCGCCTTTTCGCCTTTTCAAAAGCCGAGCTTTTAGAGGTGTTTGGTCATGTTTCAGCTTTTGAAGCCGAAAAACACTTTTAAAAGCCGTGCCAAACATAGGCATCATCTTTGCGCATCACAGCACGGGGCAATTGATATGAATTGGATGATTTGAAATATATCGGACATGATACAAATTTGTCGGGTAAAATATCTCTGGTACCACTAAAGTATTAGAATTGGGGGAGATAGATCCCTTAAATTTGAATTATCGTCGAGTATCACTAAACTCTATTATATGTGCACCCGGTACCACTTAAGTTTACTGCTAAGTGCATTCAGTTAAAAGTGACAGAATATTCTTGGAATATTCCGTTTTCTAAATTTCAAAATGATTCTTCTACTTTGTATTGTTGTACAAAATCCTTTGTACTTATGAAAAACATCATATTTTTACTATTTAGTTTGAATCTTCTTTTGAAAACTCTAGTACCAAACCAATATTTGAATATGAAATTTATAATCAGTTATCATTATAAGTATTTTCAATTATCATTATGTGCTCTAATAATTGAATTACTCCTTGAAGCAAATGTATCATATGAATTTTATCTTGATATAAATCATCTGAGGATGTTATATTTAGTTCACTTACATCATGTTGATGTTGTCTTATTTTCCATGTTAAATCTCCTTGTACGCCTTTAATATTATATTGTAGATATTCCAAATTAGTTAAATTTACTAATTGGAATTCTTTTCCAATAGTCATATTTTCTTTTCTAGATTTGTAACTGAATGTTTTAGCTTTTATAGTTTACTTATTACTTGGTTACTTTTCGTCTTTTTTCGTTCTAATTTTTTCAATTAATGGAATATGTTTAATTTTCAAATTGTGTTCCATTTATCCTTCTTTGATCTTGATGTATTGATGGTCAATTAGGTTATATTTTAACTGAACTTAGTGGTACTTTTAATTGAATTAGGGGTTTAAATAGATCTTCTAATATTAATATTAATATTAATTTTATTTATTATTATCTTTTAGTATATTTATTATTCTTTCTTGATAGTTGTTTATTATTTTTACTAATTTATCTATTATATTGAAAAATGTCTTTAGCCATCTAGTATTACTATGTTTAGAAGGTTTTCTAATTTTTATATTAGATAATACTTGTTGAAATATAACTTTTGATATTTTAAAATTTTTGGGTACCAAAAGGTAATTAAAAATTTGGTTTGGATGGAAAATTTGACGGATGCACTTTTTGGGGACTTTTATGATGTCAGACGCCTTATTCAAACTTAAGTGATATGTCTATCCTAATTCTCAAACTTAAGTGGTAACCGAGTTATTTTACCCCAAATTTATCACTAATAGTGAGTTGGATAATGCATTGTGTACTGGTGAACTTCTGAATGACTTTGATGTTAGGGATGGCAACAAAACCCGAACCCACAGGTACCCACCCGACCCAACCCGATCAACGCGGGTAAAATCCGTGTTGACAGGTTTTGGGCCGGGTTTGAGTTTAAACCTGTTCACTATTCACCGGGTTGGTTTGGGTTTGGGTTTAGGTAAACCCGACCCATGGGTACTCGCCCACACCCATATAATTAATTTTCTCGGCTTATTTAATATTCTAAACAACTAATCTTATTTATGTTTGTGGAGACATGCCTAATTTTTTCTTTCTAGTTATGTAGTATGAAGTTGATGTTATCGAGTGAAGAGTGAAAAACTTAATTGACAGAAAGAAGCTTTCAATTAATCATGTTATTTATGGATAATTTGTGATTTGCTTCAATTTTCTTGAGTTTTCAAGATTGGTGTTGAACAATTTGTATAGTTAATTTGTGATTTGCTTGAATTTTCTAGAATTGTGTTTTATATATGGATAGTTTGTATTGGGAGATTGATATTTGACTTTAATTTTGATAGGAATTTGTTAGTAAATTTTTTACGATAAAAACCTGTGGGTACCCATGAACCCGCGAATACCCACCGGGTTGGGTTGGGTTTGAGCTTTTCAAACCCAGGGGGTTTTACACCGAGTTTTTTTCACGGATAAACCCATGGATTTAGGTTTGGGTTTAGTAAATTTTTTACGACAAAAACCCATGGGTACTCATGAACCCGTGGATACCCAGCGGGTTGGGTTGGGTTTGAGTTTTTCGAACCCAGTGGGTTTTATCCTGGGTTTTTTCACGGATAAACCCATGGATATGGGTTTGGGTTTGGCAAAACCCGACCCATTGCCATCCCTATTTGATGTCACTGATATGACCATGAACAATGTAGTAGTTTCCCTACAATGAAATTTATTTTGAATGAAATAAGTTAAATAATGAAAATGTATGATTATTAGAATGCATGGAAGAGAGGGTGGATAAAAATAGTTAATTCATTAATTCAAAACAACTTTTATTGCATTTGTTGATTATGACATTAGCGATAATTAGTTAACATGTTATTTTTTTATCAAGTCGTCCTAGTTTAGTGTTGTATATTTTTTTCATATCTTATAAGAAATTTTTGCACTCATTATTGTCGAATATGAATTCAGAGTTTGAAGATATATAAAAAAATCAAGAGAATAATGGAAATGTTATGCCTAGAAATCTCGAATATGAAAGAACATGAAAAATACTATTTATCGTATAAATTATTATAATTTAGCGTATACGCTTGTTTGAATAATAAGTGGGAGTTGTTAAGTGTTAGATACTAATGTACACACAATAGTTAAGAACATCCAAACATTATAAAAACCTAAATTTTACTTTACTAATACGATCTTTGACTTTTCATGTGGAGTTGATAGCATAGATTGTTACTCTGTTATTCATTTTTCTCAAATTTATACCTCTACTATTTTTCACATCAAACATGCGCTTGTACTATATAGTATATACGTATTATCAAACATACCCTTTGTTATAATTTCTGATGAAATTAAGTTAAATATGTTCGAAACATGGTCATAAAAAATTAAATTTAACCCCTTTTTATGGCTTATCTTCTCCGTCTGTAACTCACAATAATTAATAGCTACAGTTTCATTCTTCATCCCTTTTGCTTTCTCTTCCTCCGACCAACAACAATTAAATGCAAAAACTTTTGTTTGTAACGAAAGAAGTTCGACATTTGAATTTCAACCAAACTCTCTGAAAGTCCTCAATTGATCGATTTGACTTAATCATCAAAATTAAAACCCAATTTTTTTTAAAAATATCCAAATTTCGAAGTATCAAAGGTTGTCAACCCAATTTAGCATGTTAGCCCGGTCGAGTAAGCGAGTTGAGGGGTAATGGTCCGATCATTTTAGTTCGCTTTTGTTCGAATATATGAAAAATGTATTATATTGTTCATACATTTATAAATTATACAAACTCTTATATACATATGGATAATATTATATAATACTACACCAACATAACAATACGTACTTGGATCCAAAATATAATAGAAATTCAAACACACTCATATAACATAAATATTCAAGTGTTCAACTTAGGATTCTGAAAGTAGGGTTAGGCGAAAGGAAAAAACAAAAAAAGAGGCACAATTCGCAAACCAAAGAGAAAAATAACATCGTGTCACCTCTAGCCCGGGTGTCTTGTTACAGAATTTAAAACCCAACCCGAGAGTGTGGCGCCCATTTTACCCACTAAGTCTGAATCAACGACGGTTGACAACCTTATCAAATCCCTATTGAATGAAAAGAATGGAAAGCCAAAATTTTAAAATTTGACACATCAATATTGAGAGATATATTTTTACTTGAAGAACCAACCCTATCTCAAACGTTTCTCCTCCTTCTCCTTCGTAAATCCCACCGACCACTTTTCTTTCCAGCTTTGCCCCTATTTCCCAAACGCAATTATATCAATCTGTGGCCAGGAAAATGTTGTGATGATTATGGAAAAGCGAGTCTAGTACACCAAAGTAGGGGTGCTAATTGGTTCGATTGCAGTTTATCACTAATCAATATGACAGTTAGCAGTTAACTAATAAGACTACCCTTACCGATAACCAAACCAATAACATTTATCAATTAACAATCTCTTATAAGTTCGGTTAGAGTAAATCGTGAACCCAAAAACCCCTAAGTGTCCCTTATTATACAAATTTTCCTAGTAATAAAATAATTCTCCACGGTACCACCTACTGTCAACAGTCCCCATGCAAAAGCTAATAAAGTAATCTTATCTAATAAAAAAGCCAGAAGAACAAATTCCAATCTCCATTCTCCACCATACTTTCATATCCATCCCATTCTACCTCCTCTCTCCTTCTTCTCCCTATGCGCCACTCTACCTCCTTG